CCTGAGCAACTATGAATACCCATGTGAATCTTCTGCGGAGCCCGAGGTCTAATATAAGAGATTGCTCTCCGTAAGTTTTGATAACTGATTCGTTAGCCGCTATTAGAGACAGTTTAGTGCTTGTTGTCTGTTGTCTGCGGGAGAGATGGAGTGGGATGATGCTGATTTCTGCTCCAGTATCGACTAAAACGTCCGAGCCGGAAATGCGATCCCTGGCGTGAAATAGACGGCTAACATGTCGGCCAGTAACAGCTGCCGCCGTTACTGTCTAGCCACTTCGTTTCCCTGATAGTTTGGGTTGTTTGTCTTAAAGTTGCACGGTTTGGTGCAACGGCGTGCTTTCTCACCATAATTCGAATGATACCAACAAATTCCGGCTGCCCGTTTAGGTGACCTAACACGGTGTCTGGATACTGATCTTCTTCTGGATGTAGATCTGGCAGGTCGAGAATGGATGGTGGAAATAGTCGCCTGCAGTGAAGCTAGCTGCTGTGTTAACTGTGTTACTTGTTGTTGGATGTTGAGTGCGTCGCTCATGTTTTCTCTACTTGAGGATTGCATCGCGTTAACGCCGCGACTATCGGGATATATTTCATCTTATCGGCCATGTCTGCTAAATCATCAAGACTGACAGAGGCTCCTGATATGCTGAGGATTTGTCTGACGTTATGTTGTAACCTTTGTAAGCACATCTGCCTAAGTAATGCTTGGTCTAACTTGTATGAGCCTGCTAGTTGTCTCATATGTCTAAGCAACTGTGAAGGTCTTTTGTCCCCTAACTCGCATGCGGTAAGTAGTTGCTGTAAGCGTTTTTCGTCAGACTGCGAAGTACGGTGGATTACTGCGGCTTTTATTTTGTCAAAGGGTTCCGTTTCTGATACGTTATCTATCAGGTCTCCGACTTCTGCTGCCACTTCTATGGGTAATGCTCGAACAACGTATGCATATTTTGTCGCTTGCGAGCGTATACCTCTCGACAAAAATAATGCCTCAACCTGTGCAAACCAGATCCTGGGATTACTAACACTGTACGTTGGTAATTTTAACTCTTAAATAGCGTTGATTGAGTTTAAAACATTAATTTCTGACTGTGATGATTGAAAGGGGTTGGTTGATGGACTATCTATATCAATAAGTTTATTAGGAGAGTTCATGATGGCAAAAACAAAAAAAAAATAGACTAAGGTGCCAAGTAATAAAAAATGAATATATATATAAACAGTAAACGTCTATAATGAATTCAAGGCTCACCAAATAATTGTGGTGGACCAAACAGATATGAACACAAAAAAAATATAAACAAAGTTATAAGAAATCGATAGTAATATTAATATATATAATTAATTGTTACAAATACAATAAAAATTGGGGACGTTACTTAAATTGATCAGACGTTGCGCGTTCTGATTAGGTCCAGTAATGTAAATCCATAATTATAAATGCTTGATGATTATGAGCATGTTGGCGAACTCTCAAGTGATATAGCCCAACGTAGGATGTGATATATTCCGATTACAGTCTATAAATGTAGATAGTATTTGATTTAGACTTCAGATAGCTCAATTACAAATGAAAGTAGAACGAGGAATGTGTGAGAAGCATTGTATTTGTTAGCAAACAGTGGTATATCACGCTATGTAGTATGTACAACGGAAAAGTGTTCAAGGTCAGTTTCAGTTTCATTTTCTAAAACAATTGTTACAGTCATTTAATGTTAAATATACAGACAGTGAAAGGTTGACAAAATAAATACAAATAATATTAAAAACTATTTACAAAATAAGCTTGTCGGGTCCATCTCCACAGTTTTAAATTACACTCAACTTGTAATTTAGCACAATATTCAGTCAAATTCTTCATTGGGTTAGTATTTCGTTTCAGAATCGGTTAATTCCTCAATTCCTGAATTTCGACTTAAACTACGAAAGCCTGTCATATTTCTAATCATTACCAAAAATAAAATTACTGTTTAGTAACTGAATGTAAACTGAATATCATTTTTGAAAATTGACTTAATCAAACAAAATTAGTGGATAATAACTTGCAAAATAACTAAAATGCTATCTGTAGTGTAATTGTGAAACACGTCCGACCATATGTTTTAGTTATTAATCTTACATCAAACCACCTTATGTTCTTGTGTTATTATTACTTAATGAAATCAAAAATGATTATTATCGTATATATATATGGGACTCGTTAGCAATGAGTATCTACGGTTCGAATCCGGAACCTTCGATCGCGTGAATGAACGCTTAACATTTACATCAGCAAACTATAATCTAGTGGTTTATATTTCCAACTTCTAATAATTCCTTTTGTAGATCTAACTGCAGTGGCCTAGTTATAACAATGATAGTCATATATTTATTTCCGCTGATATATATATATATAAAATCTAAATCCCAAACGATCACATTTGAAGTTACAGGTTACATAATGCAAATTTGTATAAACCAGACCTTCATTAAATTAATCAATTCTGGACTCCCGCATCCTAAGTATTACTAGATATGTTAATTTCGTTTCAATATACATACATACTTACATCACATGTAAACGAACACGTTTATAATTCTATAAACAACAAGTTTATTCAAAAAGACCGTTATGTAAACCTAGTTTCAGTTAGCACTTTTGATTTGTACGATCTTACAGTGCATTTTCTTCTGATGGACTAGTATTTTTCATACTTTATAAGTAGATCACATAAAGTGTCGATAGAGCTGAGAGATTATTACCTATGATCCTGTATGACTGTATCAAGATCCACTCGTTCAACTTACATAATTTCAACGACGCTGAGAATTACTGAGTTTTAGTCAGCAGGAGAAAATGGGCTCAAAATAATGGAGAATATCTATTATAGGCTTCATAACGTTTCTGTTATATTGTTAACAATACTTGATATAAATAATGTAAACAACATCGTTAGCAGTCGACTGCAAGTTCATAGTGGTTCATAAATTATTTCATCTAGCTTAGTCGTTCGTTTTTTCTGTGGACTAGTGTTGAACCTTAGATAGACTTCTGTAATCCATGAAATTAGTCGCCTGGAGTAAATGTTAGGAACTAGTCAACAGAAATACTCACTACTCATCTGCTAGAAATCGATATGCGGCATTTTGATGTGGATTAGTTGAAGAAAATTAAATGTAAATTTCATTGTCACTACATCTATGTTATGGGGAAATAACCCCGTGTAAACACTAGTGCTTGGATTCAAGCGCAGACGGTCAGTCCCTAAAGTTTTTTCCATCGTTGACTCACTTAGGATTAAATGACAATCATAATGTTGGTGAAATACGTAGCCTAGATAATTTCGTTATCATCTGTCAACCAAATACCAGTACAACGTAAAAGTAAAAAGTCAAACGGGACTTGTAGTTAGGACATGTATATTTCAGACATGCATATAATCAGCCGAATTGAATGTGGTTAGTAGTGTGAGCACTGCCTCTCTGTTATGGTTCAAACCATGCCTTAGAATTCTTAATGGAATACCGAGTTACCAAAACCGTATTTACAGAAATGTTCAAACGTTTCATAGTACTGTGTACAGTATAGTGGATGCCTACACTTAACGAGCTACTGTATATAGTACCAGTGGATCTCGGACGTCTCTAAGTAGGAACTCAGGCATACGTAACGAGCGAAAAAAATTAGATTGATAGATTATAATGAAGTACTTTCGTGATGTCTTAGGAACAGACAACATTTTCTATTGAAGAACTCCTGAGAAGTCGCTTGGACGAGCTCAGCCAGTAGCGAATTCCAAAATTCGACAATCGTAAAGAGTAAAAGATGAGCCTACAATCCATTTTATTATGTCGCTCCTCTATTATCTGGGTCGTGCCACTGATTTTTACTTTGAGATTGATCTTAAATAAGCTTTAAGACGATATCCAGGAGTGCAAAGATCCGGTGATTTCGGACGATCCTTATTGGGTTTAAATTTCGGCCAGCGGACTGACTACTTGGTTCACCTTAAGACAGTCCCTATCGTTTCGGACTGAGGAATGGTACACTATATTTTCATGTCGTATGGAGCCGTAGAAAACTGTTAAGCGGAAAGTTCTACTGTCAAAATGGTTAGAGATGTGCTTAGGTGTCGTTAGTGCGGGATTCTCCTCTAGGGCACTTTGTAAAAGTTAATGTAAGACTTTGAGCCTTAAGGTGACATGATTCTTAGATCTTTTTACATTTAAGACACCTTTTGAGGGGAGTTATTTAGATTATACATGTAATCTGCGACTACTACTACTACTACTACAATGCCCGTTAATAGTAGGATATTTGATTCCAGTTTTAGTGATAAAATGGGAGGGCATAACTGCGCGGACATTCTTTCTCAGGTTAGCTAGGATTCAGAGGCGATCAACTAGGGATTCTCTGCCTGTGAAAGTCAGATCCTAGAGTCATGGCGCCTTACTGCTTCTTCGTTGAGTTTGAGACCACACACTTTCAAATAATTAAAACGTTCAATAAGGCTGATGAAATGAGTTTCAGTAAAGTCATCATTATCGTTGTACGTGTGTTCAGCAAATCTGATTTCAGGAATAAAAAAGTCTCTGAAGATCAGAGCATGAGTTTGTTTGAGACTAATAGAGGGGGTCAATTTCCTCACCATTCGATTGTCGTACTCGGTGTCAGCTATTACCTATTCACATGCCTCATTTACTGGAATTGGAAATCTACTGAGTTTCTGATAGTGAGATCAAAGTATTGATTTAGTGTGATTTCACGTAAGCACATACGTTTGTGGTTAGTAGTTTCAAAGATTCATCAGGAGCGTATAAGAACAGAATATTATCAGTATAGTTGATGATATGACAATGATTCAGAACATACGAAGGAATAAGTGGTGACGAACACACGATCATACACATTCACAACAACATGTCATCTTACATACGATTAACATAGTGAATAAGCCAATGAAGTGATGGCGTAAACACTGATGTATTTTGCTTTGTTTGTTTGAGCTAATAGTTTTAGACTGTAAAGAGAGGGTTGTTTGCCCTTAAATGAAATCAGGACTAATACTAGCCCAGGTTATTTGTCATGATTCGTTTACTTTTTCAATGTTTGTATATACTAGACACTCACTCATAATTTTAAGTTGCTATATATATTTAATTCCTCACATTTCATAGATTATCTTTTAATCTATTTGTTCATCACTGGTTCAGTTTACTTAGTTTTTGTTGCAAGTAGTTAGTCAATGTTAGTTTTGTGTATTCCTTCGAACTTTAGGTTCCAACCGAGAGGAACGTCAACGAGCTTCATCAAGTTCTTGTCACATTACAACATATCTACGAATTTACTATTAGCCTGCTGATAACGGGACATTACTGTCATCGTGAAGAAATACTTTAGGTCATGTTTAAGTTTTGCTGCATCTTTATCATCTCCATAATGTTTTTTGCACGCCTACTCTCTTGGAATGTCAAGAATCCGTTTCGAAAGGCCCAAATTTTTGAGTAATCGGTTTTTAATATTTGAAAGTCATACAAGTGATACAATCTGCACTCGCTCATGCTAAAAGACTGTCTTACGTCCCTATCGAGCTATTTAACGTTAAATACAGAGCACCACTGTTTATAAGTCTCCTCCAAGAAACTTTAGAAACCGTACTCGAGTCTTGTTCTTCCTCGCTTAGCTTGATTAGATGACAGTCTAGTTCACTGTCGAACTTCTATTTAAGGTCGTCACAGAAGTACTGTAACTACCACTAAAATGTTTACTTTCGAATTCACTTGTTTAGCTGTAATTACTGTTGCATATAACATTGCCTTCTAAATATAGCACTCGGAAAAGCTTCTGTGGTTGTGTCAGATTACGAAACTTAATGGAACCACCTATTTTCTCTTAGTTTATCTTGTTCAGATATTTTATCAAGACTAGCTTAAAGACCAGGTTTATCTTCACCATTAACCTTTGAAACTTAACTGATATCCCGGATTTGCAACAATAACATATATGGTAGCATAATCATAAGGAAAGATCTTGTTCATCTTAACGTATGTGGGTAATTGGTGCGATCCATAGTTTAAGTTTGCCATTCTCCGTCTATATGTCAGTTGGATTGACGAAACTTAGACATTTAGTTTAAGAATGTTGGTTTTAACCATTGGCCTAATCAAGCACAAAAAGGAACGCCATACAAGAAGAGATGGGTGACGGCTAGCAGTGGGATCCAGAACTCCCGTTTCGTTCTGTCTGGAAGATTTGAGCTACCAACACAGGTCTAATACTTTATATTTTAAGGAATAAATAAAGAATCAGTCCTGACTGTAAGATTTAAATATCGAATGGGTTTTACTAGTTTTTTGAGATCATATTTTAGGACCGCTTCTTGCTTGAACTGTCAAACGTAAAAACGTTTTATATCGTTATATACTTTCCAAAAACATGTTTGCTACTAAATTCGCAATTTATCCACCTTGTTTCTTCTTGATACCAGTCTGATTGTTTAGCGATTCTGTCTGTGTGTTGTCCGATACACAGTAGCTTTGCAATTATTTCTCTAACTAAATATAGTGTACCATTCTTTCGTCTAGTCACAGTAATTACGATATAAGTTCAAATAGGTCATATGAAGAAACCATGACGCCTGTTAGTCAGAATACGTCTATCTATGCTAGAATATCAAACTCTTGTTTGAAACAGTGAGAGTTTTGGTCACTTTTAACTGTTAAATCAAAGAAAGTTCCATTGAATCTGATAACCTGTTTCTCGCTTAAACATAATATCTTAGTGATGACTTTCATCCCATGTTCTGCGCTTACACTGAGTGATTTAATTGTCAGGACTTACACCATAAATAACATATTGTGTTCCTCGAAACTCCAAAACTAGTCATTTCTCTGTACCGAATTTCCAGTAAAGTGTTATATGTGTGCATGTACGGAAGCGCGATGAATGATGTAAAGTCATAGTTCGCACCACTTAGCAGTCCTAGTTATACAGTTGTTAAAAATCAGGGAACTCTGGATAACTGTTGAATCTTAGGATATAAACCAACAGGTGGTGTATCTGTAGTTAAACAGGCTAGGCAGTTGCTGTATGACCTGAGGGTCCTAGGTTTGACCCTCGGTGGGGTCATGGATCTTCACGGCAGAAGCGTCACGTGCTAAGGCTAAATATCTGTCCAGTACTCCATGGTTTTCATCGGTTACTTGAAATCAGCCCGTGATGCAAACTGTTGAATTCAGAATTGTCCACGAAATGCTGTATTTATATATTACTTCCCGAGGGTCTGGGTGTATCTAGACATGATATGAATACCATATAGTCACGTGTTGTTTAAAGGTGAGATGTTATATGAAAATTTCATACTACTACTACGAGAGAGAGAGAGAGTAGATGACGTCATTATCAAGTTCTCAGCGTACGTGTTCTTATTAGTGTCAAAAGGTATATATATATATATATATATATATATATATATATATATATATATACTGGTAATTTAAGTTTATTACATCGTTTGCAAATTATACTTTATTACTTGTTTTAGTTTCCTTCCTTTTGGGATTACCATAAGTAACATATTTCATAACCGATCCAGACCGCAAAGCATAACATTGCCCATTACTTATTTCCTTCAGTTCCATGTTTTATAGTAATACTAGATTTTAGGTTTTGGAACTTATTTCCAGATTGTTGCCTTACTAAGCGGCAATTAGCTACACTTGATAGTTCAAATTTAATTGACTTCTGCCTAAATATGTGTATTTTCACATCCAAGCAACATAAAATTCACACTTATCGTAACATGTCATGTTTCTTCATGTAGTTTATCTCTATTACCTAATGAAGTATTTTATTCGTTCTTTGATTTTGTTATCCTAAATTTTAGATTCTTACCTGATCTCAGCAGATTTTTTCATCTCAATTCTCCTCTCTTTGGTTTCATTCTGGCTAGTGGTTCAATACAATGTTGCATCTCATTTTGTTAATTATATGCTTTATAGAAAAATCAGGTAAGTAGCAAGCATCATGAATGGTCATAAAAATGGTTATAATATTGAGTTAATGTTATAAAGTAGGTAGAGTGGTTCAGTTTTTTTCTAAGTGTGTTACTCATGTCTTATAGGTATTAAATATTGACATTGAGTCTGATCTTACGCACCCAGTTTTGTTTTAGGTTTCACCCTTGTTTATTTTCATTCTGAAGCCTCATTTGATATTAAAAAAATAAGACATCAATGTGTTTAATCACCTAAATTTTCAACAGTATCCAATTGTTTTAATCAGTGGGTTTGATAATATCTTCAACTTCCAGGAAATTGAGATATACTAGCATACATTAACTTGGTGTATATTTTTTTAAACACCAGTACTCCATCTTCATGTGTTCATACTATTATATTCTAAATTACACATGTTCCAGCCACCAAAAGTGGTGTTGTAAAGTGACTAAAACTTGAATACTGCACTCATTTCATAGTGATTCTCACTAAACTCAGACGTACCAAAATGTTTCTTTGTTTTTGATGTTTCCGTTGACATTAGTAGTTCCAAGAAAAAGAAACAATGCTAACCTCAGGATATATTCATTTTAGAATAGTTAGTTTTTGAAGGTATGTTGTGGAATAACAAACATGAATATGTTGCACGTCATGTTTTTTATAAGATGAACGTTTTCATAATGCCTGTAATCCAAATTCCACGCTTCACCCTGAATTTTCGCTATTCGAAGGTTTTTCTCCGTAGAAATCATTCGTAAATTATGTGTGGCATATGTTTATTGTAAATGCGTAGAAAATCGAAAGCTCTAAATGTTCCTGCACACGCTTACATTCTACTAAACTTGAGATATTTCATTTCAATTTATTGCAGATTCTGCGAAATTCAGTTTATCCGTAATCCCAGCAAACCAACCAGTACTTATTGGTCAAAAAGTAATTTTAAGATGTCAGGTACAAGGAATACGACTTTCAACAAAATATGCAGTGTTATTTCGGCATAAAGAAAACTTAATTTCAGAGAAGTGTTTCGTGTACGAAGCACAAAAGTATCACCTAATATGTGAACCAGATGATTGGCAAAGAGCCGAAACTTATGAATTACATATTAAATCAGTTTCTTGGGCAGATCGTGGTAATTGGTCGTGTATTTATGCAGCAAATAAAACCATACAAACTCTTGAAGTATATGGTAAGTTATAAGGATTTTCTCTCATTTCTTATGGTTAAAACGCAGTATTTGAACGAAATATCTCTACCAAATTTCTATGATAAAGTTTGAATGCACTATCCATTGACTCTGAAATCCAATTTCATGTGTATCGTAGTTTTCATTTCATAGCTATGAGATGACAACGAACAAGTGTAATAGCCAACATTGCTCAGTTGGGCCAACACGTTTTCCAAGCCTAACTAATATATCAAAGTACCAGATATAGTCGGGTTATCTACTATCATCCTGTCCTTATTTGTTCACTGGCTAAAAGTTACAAAAAGGTTATATATTCTTGTCGTACAGAAGGCGAGTTTGAGGTTCATTTAGCTAACAATTGAATTGATTTTTTATGCTTGTTACAGAAGTTAAGAGATATGGTGGGTTTATTGGTATAGACTGTTTGCAGTGATAGTTTAATGTTATAATTTACATTACAAACACATCGCAGTTAGATAACCATTAAAAACCAGGAAATATTAGATAGCAACCATCATCTAATGTTATTGGTGCATAGCAGCCTCACTCCTAACATTGTAAGGTCATAGGTGCACACTGCTTTTGAGTCTTATAGCAAGGTGAAACGACTTTCCTGTGCTTTCTACTTTCCAATACTTGTCTAACTTAGGTCAATCCGTAATGCAAAATACAAATTTCTTGTCAACTATCCCAAATCATCATTTATCTCAACATAGTGCACGTAATGTCCAGTCACCTAGACTAGTGGCCACATTGCAACTTAATCTATAGAATTCGATCTGCACTAAGGAGGAATTGACACACCTGATATTGATCACTATCCAGTGATCAATCAATTGTAAATTATGATGTATTTATCAATATATTGATATTAATATTTTGTTCTTATACGTTACAACTGCGAATTCAGATGTAGGTTTTAACTATGAAAGTTTTCGCAGTGTAAGTACCTTGGGACTTTGTTAGTTAATTTTTTTTAAAATTTTCTTAGCACCAGCTAAATTGGAAAAGATGGGTGTTTCAAGTCTAACATCATTGCCTGTGACAAACAAAGAAAGTATGACCAAAGACTCCAGTTCACCTTCAGAATTATCATCTTCATCGTCTTTGGCTACAGCTGGATTGGATTCAGCTTTATCTATCATTGGCACACCACCTAGTCAACATATCGGCTTAGGCACTCGAACTAATCCGTATGATTTACGTTCAGGACTAGGAATTCAGCTTACTTGTGAAACAACTTGTGGACATCCTCGAGCCAATATAACTTGGCTAGTCATGAATGAGGTAATTTTTATAATTTATATGAATGTTTGGTCTGTATGCTTGAAAACAATAAGTGATAAAACACCATAAGTATTTCAAGTGGTAGTGATTATTCAGTGAGCAATGATTTGTTGATGAGAAACAATTAATACAATTGTGCCACTGATCGATTTTAGGCCATGTCACCTAACATCTCCAGTTATAGACTACAATTATTTGAGTCGTCGCTCCTTGTAGGTCCATATAAGGAATTCGGTTTAGTTTCTTATTTCAGTGTGGTTCAACCTGTTGTCTATGTAGTCCTAAACAAGGACTATATTGTTGATTTCTTTTATTTAACGGCTCTGATTACTAAGTGCTAACATATATTCCAGTAGCACTTTTCCAAGATAAAATCAGTCTCTTCAGGTATCTCAAAATACCAACAAAATCTTAAGTCATTTTTCGTATATCTTAAATGCTTTATGTAAGATCGTAAATGGAATAAAGGTAAATTCTCAAAACCAAAATTAACTTACAAGCTACCATTGGTTTTAAAGCTTACTTTGTTGAGATATAATCTTTCAAATGGGCCTACAAACCACGTAATTAGTGGATTTATTGCTTCGTTTTCATGTTTGATAACCTATCTGTCACTAAAAGCACTTTGAGAAGGTATCTAATAAACGTAGCTATCCCAAATTCGTTTACATAAGATACGATAGATACTAACCAGCCCTTATATAGTAGATTTTAACCCACAAAGGAGCAGTTTTAATGAACCCCCTTCAAAAACAACAGACCTACGTTAATCACAAAGTTCACTTAAACCCTCTACAATTACAATATTATCATAACTTTTAATGATACCAGTTCTTAATGTCAGTCAGTTAGTTGGTCATAAACAACGTAAGAAACTGGTGCAGATACCAATCAACCTAAGATCCCACATCACATCAACACAGCGGGATAAAACAATCAGGGTGAGTATCAGAGTATTAAAAGTATGAGTATTAACGATAGTTAAATATATGGGACAGAGAAAGTGCTTCGAGGAGAAGAAATGATACTTCAAGGTCTGGGGTGCACAAAAACTGAATGAATTCGCGTCACTGTAACCTATTTTGAATCATTTCACCTAATCTCTCTGTAACCAATCACATGGAGTTCAATCATGGGCTTACTAATGTAGCTTTGACCATTAGTCACTGATTTCAAGGACTTATGTAACACTTTGGTTTGGGCAAGCCTCAGATTTCTTTCAGCGTGTTCCTATCATTACAGTAAATGACTAGAAAACTGTATTGACTTCCAATTAATTAAATGAATCTAGTTGTTTTATGATTCTTAGTATAAATTATCTCAGCTATTAATTGGTAATATCCCTTTCCGTAAACTATCATGGTTTTAATTACAGACCTACGACCGTACCATAAATCTATTATTTTCGTTTATTTATTATTGTGGTTGCTTAAATTCTTCTCTTTAAATGAACAACTGATATAGCTACAAATAAGTTACAGAAGTGTTATTTGACTCGTACAGAAAGTGTTTCATTTCATTTAAGATTGGATAGATGCATGTGAGCAAGTAAATTAGATATATACTTCAACTGGAAACGTTTTGTGGACACTGGTTTAATTGACGAGTTGTATCCGTCACAGACTGACCTCAGTTTAGGACCTTCTAGTAGTGCCTACCCATAACCTCATCAAGGATCGGACCTGTGACCTTCATGTTTTACATTGATACCACTCTCCAGTGCTTCCTCGTTCCTAATAATACCACAATCGAGATCAATCTGTGATGTATACAACCTATAAGCCAAATCAATCTCCAAAAACCTTTCATCTAAAATGATTACCAAGTGACAGCACAAGCACATGTACTCATAGATTATAAATAACGACGTATAATTCTCTTTTGTGTCTTGATAGTGGCTGAATAATTCTTGAAAATTTTTATATATGGCTACTTCTTGCTCACTTCCTACTATCTGAATTATCTTGTCCAAATTCGCTAACACAATTGAATTGGTAAGATCTTTGAAGTTATAAACTATATATTGTGAACTCACACCGTTCCCGATAGCTTAGCAGTAAGGGTGTTCGACTTTAAACTATTAAGTTGCAGGTTCAAGTCGTTCTTCACCTACTTCAATTTAGGAAGCTCCGTAGTGTCACTACTCTCCAAACATTAAATATGGCTTAAATCCAAGTAGACAAATCTATACTTGATAAATGAGTAACATCATAAATCTATGTTTATACAAAATACTACACTCTAAAATATCACTCAATCGTTATTGATTTGTTTGTCTATTTCATTTCATTATGAAACATGTTCCTATTATCAAAAATAATATTTCATTTTGTATATCATCTAACATAGAATGATTTTGTTTGTATTTTCAGACAATGACTAAAGCAATTATGCCCACGAATCCAAATAAAATTCATGAGAATGTTTGTAGTAACTCACCAAATACAATTGATATGACAACTACTAAGTCAACTTTACATGTTCATTGCTCACAATTAGATATTATTGGTTTAAATCAAGTTCAATGTTCAGTGAATGGACCACAATATAAAGATACTTTATTGACACGAAATGTTTACATATTATGTACTGGTAGGTATCTTTTTAGATCTTTTTCTTACCTATAAGTATGTTAATTAAACTTGGCGAAGAAATTCCCACTGTTCATTCATTTTCAGATATGTACATATGTCTTTTTATTTAAAAAGTAGATTCCTTACAACTGAATATGTTATATAATCAGCTTCTGTAAAACTTAGTTTCCATGGGGCACTTTCATTACAAACTGATATTAACAGGGGAACCAGAGGCAAACAGGCACACAGAGTATTGAATCACTCAATGGTACATAGGTTTTGGGGAACTATGAGAAATTTCCTTAACGAATAATCATATAATGTTTACTTATGATTATGAACCTTTAAATTAATGCCTAATTTTTCTGTCTGTTCTTTGAAAAAACACAAATTTGTGGTGGGGATTTTAGCGTATACATTTTACATATAAGCTCATCTTACATTCGTTTCAAACGTTTTTCTAAATAATTTTGTATGTGACCTCCTTGAGCAGGTGCTTCTAGTTCATTTAATTATACATAAACAAGTACTACTGAGGGCAACAAATAAAAGTATGCGTTACACAAACAAAAGATGATATCGGGGAAGGAATAAAGCAGGTAAAATGGAGTACAATAAAAAGAGAAATGAGCAAGAGTAGCATGTACTTGAGGAGATACAGATCAGTGAGAAATACAACAATACGAAAACAACTCTCACTTAAGGTGTATTAGTCTAAATGGCGTAATTGATTCGACAAAATCTGTATCAGGTTACATGTTGAGCAACATCATTCAGCGACCTGAAACCGAGTAAAAACAACAAAGGTTCCAACAAATACGACCTTTTGAGCTATTTTTGAGAATGAAAGTATGCCGACGTCGGAAATAAAACGCCATAAGATATTTAAGCAGAGTAAATTCATTACATTTGTAATAGATTTATCCTCAGTGTAGTTTGAGTTGGTAACAAGGAGGGGCAAACGGTTCAGTTTCTTCATGATTATCGATTCACATATTTGTGTGCGGGTTCGGATACTCTCTGGAGTTTTTAACCCAGTGGTTTGATTCATTAGGCAGCGGAACAATGTCAGATGATCTTACCCAGCGAACAAGATAGGTCCACATGACATTCGTTTCTTTAAGATCACAGTTCCCGTATAGAACACATTGGTTTGGAATCAGAGTTTTCTAACCATCGTAGGTGGTCCAACCCAACTCAAATTCATAACATTCACCTATTGCCCTGTCACTCATAAAAATATTCCCCCATCAGAGGCTATAGTCACCTGAACATATCGAGAGGTTGAAGGTATCTTCTCCGTAATTGACCGTATTAGAGCATTTTGAAGTCTCGATGTTCAATATTAGCATATTAATTTGCCATAAATTATAAAACTATTAAAGAATTTAAAAAAATGGCATACTACCTATTTATTCACTTATGAATAGAGTCAATTTAAGAACATAGTATATTCTTCAAGTTTATTGTTTATTCGTAAATCATGTGAATCATATTTTTATGTATGGTTTAAAACTTTAAGTGAGAAAATAATCTTTTGTAAACTAGGATTTTGGACAAAATTATAAATATTATTTGAATGAATTTATTCGCTATTCCTCATCCATTAGTAAGTTGTTGTTTTTAAAAGGAGATTCTTAATATTGGATAATAGGTCACAATAATTAAATTAATATTAGTTGTACCATTACTACAACTACTACTAATATTATTACTAGTAGTAATAGTAGCATACATTCGCAATTTAATGAACATTGGAACAATAATTTCTTTATATGCATTTTGTTTTAAATTGAATAAATGTTGTTCAGTAAACTGATGTCTTTTTTTCAATCTTTTCATTTGTGAATTGTTATACATAAATGTATGATACTCTATTCACTAGGGTGATGTTTGTTTAAAATGTCACTATGTATATATATATAACTTTCAATAGACTAATCAATTTAACTTGGCGCCAATATTCACATTATTTCTATGTTCTAATGACATAGATAATAATAATAATAATGACACTGAGAAATCAAGTTTTCCATTTTTATTACTGAAATTAATTCAGTTTAATTATTCAAAATTTCTACAATTTTTCTATTTTCTATTTGTTAAAAGTGAATATCAATAATAACCAATGTTAATATAGATTTATTCATATAGATTTGATCAGTGTTAATTTGATTATTCCCTTTTGAAAATCAACATTAACATTATTAGAATTAGTTATTAATTAATTAAATTAAAATCAATAATATTACAATAATAATATCCCATTCATAATTAAATTGATTGAACAATGTTAACATGGAAAAAAATGGCAACAATAGTGAGGGATATGGAAGAAAGAAAATAATGTTAATTATTCGTGTAATTCATGTAGTATAAATCTTTCTCTTGTTGTAGAAATATCAATATAATATACATATATATATATCAAGGTAATTTATGAGTCAATGAAATAGATTACACATTATAAGTAAAAAGTACAAATTAATATAAAAAAAGACATGTGTACTACTAAAATTGAAAAAAAATAATAACAAAAGGTTCAGTTAATAGTTAAACATAGGAAGTAGGTCATAGTTGGATAAAGATTTTAAAATAATCATCACAAAACATTAATAATGTTACATCACAAGAAGTGTATAACTAATCAAATAATAAAGAATATATATACGTATATAATTCTTATCATTACACCTGTCTTCTTACTCTCAATGTGTACTTTCTACTGATTATATATAGTTGCATAATCCATTTCATTGTAATTACTGACTTATAAATTGTTTTGATTGATTTGATATTTTCTAATACCCATTATGAAATATTCATGTTTATGAGAATAAAACTTGGTAATGATCTAATTGGAATGCGTCTTGTTCATTTATGTGTCACTCTTTTATATGTATTACCCTCATACAGACATAATACATCATAATTATCTGGTAGGAAGTATGAGCTTAAAATAACCTGAATGGGTTTTATATAGTTCGAGGACAATCATAAAACGGCTTTTATAAATGTATAGTTTGTGGAAAAGACAATCATAATTACAATGTGTACATAGATTTTACATATTTTATACATCTATTAAAGTCTCCTGCTAGTAATTGTAAATAAAAAACAGTGGTATATATAATACTTCCATGCACAAGTATACGTATATAATTAGATGGATATCACCCATTTTATTGAATCTTTATCAAGACTCAAATAGATTTTTGAGATTCTCTGTATTGTTTTCGGTTAGAGTTTTCATTACAAATTGTTAACAGTTACTATGTTAAAATGCTTTATGGTCATATGGGCGAATGAATTTCACCAAAAAAAATATAAGAGGCGGTATCTTTATCTATGTTATCCATAAAATGTAATACTACATTGAGTTACGTTTTTTTAAGGACTTAGAGTTAGGACTTTTTGTGTTATGTCGATTTGTCTTTTATACAAAATCTACATAAAGTATTAAGGATTTCATATGTTTAATCCTTTCATTTTTACAAGGATTAATGTTGTAAACACTCTATACAAAAAGTTTTCTACTGTTCATCTCAAGTAATGCTCGAATTTCTATCAGACTCTTTAGACTCGTTTTCAGATTTTAAGTAGTAGCTCCAAACTCTGTCATACTTAATTCAGTTTCGACAATTGGATCACATCACTTTCTTACATCTAAAGTATGGCTCAAAGCTGCATATGCACAAATTTGTACTTCGTAAATAAGCTACTGTAAACGTAAACAAAGTTATAAATAGGAAACCGAATATTTATTAGTCACACTGATTTCTTAGTATGTAACACCGGTCGGAAGTGGGAAACCTGGCAGCAGAAGGTCAAGAGGATCTAGTTGAAGAAAACAGAAAGGGAAACAAAAAGGAATTGTGAATTGGAAGGATCACACAGAATATAAAGAAAAATTATTGAGAGATTTGCAAATGAAGTACTTAATCTATGATCTTCATATTTTACGAAGATTTTCTGTAATTTTTTATCAAACAGTAAACAGGTTGTTCCTACCTGAGCGTTCGTACATTATAATCATAAGAGGATTTTTTTCTTTTACATGCAGACTGTAATGTGGCTCAGAATCGGTTACTGTAGCGTAAAATCGTTCACTCTTTATCTTCCTCTAGATCTTGTGTCTTAGTAATCCTCTAAGCATAACTTTCTACTTCATTGTTCAATCTTTTTCCCTTATCATTGCTATTGTAATCATTTGAACTCCTATTGTTATATTGATCTTGTTGATTTTTTCTCGTATTATTACTATGACATAATAACTTGGATCAACACATTATTTATTTTCAGGCTATATGTTGATTATGTCTGATAAAATCCATTAATCAAATAGGACTGTAGACCTAAAAATGGTGTTTCAGCACTTCTTACAGATGTTATATTGTTTTATATTATTCGTCTACCTTATCTTTCAATCGAAATTTAATTATACCGTATCTGGATCAGTTAGTTAAAAAAACTTAAAACCTGACACAAATGTTTATTTAGGTTAACTTACTACATTTTATACGATCTATAAATAGGAAATTAACAGATAGAACTAGTTTAATATCAGTAGTATGAGGAATGTAAAATGAAGGAAACTTAGTTCAAAACAGACAAATAAAATTTGACAGAGAAAAATTCGAATTATTTTGGAAGCGAGATATTTAAGACAAAATTGAAAATGAATACAACTACAGCACTGTTTTGTGAATTTTAAGCATTACCGTTTATAGCTTCCAAACATAAAATATAATAATCTCAGGAAGCATATAATCACAGCACCAGTTTGACTAACAATCCAATAGCTCCATCGACTGATATGACCGTCTCTCACCGTTTCCCCTCTTAATATACTAAACTCTTCAACCACTGAATGAATTCAATGACTGATATTATCATTATTAGTTATTGATGAGATGTCACTTACTACTATCCATATATCCTAATTATGTCAAACCTTAATACCACTACATTGTAGTAAATTACTATTCATTCACAACTGACGATTATAATTTTGATGCAAAATATAAACTTTCTTATCTCACAATATTCATTCTGACATTTCCAATGATGAATTGTCTCAATAATTCTTCATTAGTGACCACTGTCTTAAACCATCTGTAATTCATTATTAAAAATTGTGAATATTCTAAATGTAATAGATTTTTATTTTAACTAGTTACTTTGATTTTTCCATATTGTCCCTTACCTCTCTTCTATGGATTTCTAAGATTGACTGTTCCAGTTCATAACCCACCAGCGTATATACATAACATACATCCTATTTCGTTGTATTTCTCTATCAAAATTTATTTAGATAAAAATGAATTAGAAAATTTAAAACAACCGCAAAAACATCAAATAACTACAAATGAAATCAAGAAAGAACGTGTACGGCGACGTACGTTTGTTGTAAATTGCTCTCCAGCTTATTCTAGACTAACGGATCTATGACTTCATTTGAAAAAGACTCATCTTCTCTTTATGTTTGCATGTTTCACAAATGTTAAGTGGGATGCTTTTCTTGTGTTGATGATGTGATAATTAGTTTGATGAGATTCTACTTTTCATAATATGTTTGTTAGTTATAAATTGTCTATTTTGTGTTTGCTTTCTTGCATTCTTACCGTTTCACGTTGCATACAGCATGTTCGCATGACACTTTTATTGTTTTTTTCACCGTTAGTCGGTTACGTTCGTAAATAGTGAATATGCAATACATTAACTAGACAGATGAAGGAATCTTTGTGACTTAGTGGCAATATCGAGGCAGTCATCATAGGATCCTCATATACCAAACGAAACTGATCAATCGCAGTCCCAAATATCAATGGGAAGATTACAACAACCAATAAAAATGAATTAGTCTTAGTTCTTCTATGACCGAGATAGAACTGATACAATTTATTGCCTGTTTAAATTCTCTATTTTGCTTCTCGGTTTTATCTGAATATGTAGGAAAATCGTGAACCCTTAACCTTATTCTAACTTCCTTTTTCTCTACTTTCATTGTAGGTGGTGAAAGACCAATGCGCTTAACAAGTGGTGAAGTTGTCGGAATAGCTGTTGGTTCAGCATTAGGTTTAATTTTAGTATTTATCGGTTGTATTATTTTGCGTAATAATGGGAAATCATCTCCTTTACCATTTCATGGTCATATACCCGGTCAGCGTGTATAGGAAAACGAGAATTCTTTTTTTTCTCTCTCTCTCTCTGATTTCATTGTTCACAATAATATCTGTTCTCATTGTTTATATTGTACAATTTTGTCATTTTTTTCTCTACATACTACTGATAATGATAATCATAATAGTAATAGTAGTATTCTGTATTGATTGCATTTACAACAATGCATTCCCATCATTCAATTGTTTTCTTCTTTTTTTTCTATTTTCCAAGTTCATATTAGCATAAATTTCAGTTTTGGTCATTTTCTTATAATAAGTGGGTCTATATTTGTTTGCTTTTTAAGCATATATTGCTTTAACAATTATTTGTATTGCATTTTTTTGTTGTTTTTTTTATCACATATCATTTCATTCTAAAGTCAATTAATTTCTAGTTACTTATCTTCTCATTTATTATTTCTAGTTTTATGCATTTTTATCTGCGATAAAATGTTTTTATATATTACGACTACTACTGATAATAATAGTAGTACTATTATTATTATTATTGTGTGTTATGTTGATTCTAAAGTCAATGAAATTTGTGTTGTCATGATTTTTCCGCTTGATATCAGTTTTTCTACACAACAATTAAGTAAAGGGAGGCAAACGTAAAACTTTGCAAAGTATTTACTGTAAACGGAATCTCTGGTAGAGATAATAATAAATGATAAAAATGTACGTTTTGTGACATCATCTAGGAATCAATATCGATTATTCAGCATATTAGAATCTCAACTTTTTTTTTACTGGTATTACATTTGAACATGTCAATATTGATACTTGAACAAATTGTCCTTTTCTGGGTTACTGTTTTACTTCGTATTTTTCTTTCAAATGATGTAAATAGGTAACTTTTTTGTTTGTTTTTTTACTCTTTATTGCGTATGTATGTATGCTTTTGATACTTTTGAAATTAATATTCATTCGTGTTCTATTATTCTATAAAATTCTATTTCATAAGCTGTTTTATTCGAATTAAAACTTATTATTTCCATTCCTCAATGTTCTATGAAAATTTTATTGGAAGGAAAATTGTCGGTGGAACAGAAATGTTGCTTAATTAGTAATCAGTTTTTGTATTCATATTGATAATCTGTTGCTGTGTTCCGCTGTCCGATCGAATTATAATATAAACTACCTATGGTAGATCAAACACACCAGACAAATGAAGAGACTGAAGTAAGTTAGAAACTATGTTTACTAAACCGAATTATAATGAACTCAAAGTATAAGTGCAGTGTCGAGTCACCTAGACTGGTGGTCACATTGCAACATGGTCGATAGCATTTGATCTGCACTAATAAGGACTAGACACGCATGACATTGATCACCACCCAGTGATCAATCAATTGTGACTACATCTCAGTCCTACAGGACGTTAGTCGCGGCTCGGATAGTTCAGTGGTAACGTCTCTGACTGTGAAGCCGGGTGACACGAGATCGAGTCCGCCAGGTAGCACCAGTTCCTTCAAGATTACAGGTACACCTTGGTGACGAGTGCCAAGTAGCACGAAACCCGGGTCCAGGGTTTCCTGTTGACTACCTCCAACCACCATCTAAATCTCAATATATAGTGCCCACAGTGTCGAGTCACCTAGACTGGTGGCCACATTGCAACATGATCGATAGCATTCGATCTGCACTAATAAGGACTAGACAAGCATGACATTGATCACCACCCAGTGATCAAACAATTGTGATCAAAGTATAAGTATATATGCATTTTCCTTGTGATTTAGGTAGGGACACGTAGGCTAGGTCATTGACCAAGGCATAATATACGTCTTCTAATACCACGTCTTTTACAAAATTCTCATTTCCATCTGACATTGGAACGATATGTGGCTGTCTGGTTTTTAAGATATCACGTTGTATACCTAAACACGACCAGCCTATCATCCATATATGAATTATTGTTCGTATATAACTCGTTGACCTGTATTCACACTATTTTTTCTACTTTCACTAGATATGCCTACTAAAGTCCATAATTCGATTTACAAGTGTTGATTGAAATAGACTTTTATGTATTTTAAATCACTCGTTGGACAACGTTTTTCAAGATCTTAGCTTATGTAAGTTAGGAACTTGAGAAGAATAGGAATATTCGAGATCAAACATCACTGTATTGACCAACGTTCTGTTTTACTTTAACTTCTTAGACAAATATGTTTATCAACTCGGGTTTTAGTACTTAACCTGAAGGTGGTGTTTGTCTTCATCGATAGTTGTTCCACAAAATCTTATCCCCCTCCCATAACAGAAAGGCATTACTCGATCTCAGCTAGCTGTGTTAGAGCAATCTTCTGAATCGGATATGCAACACTGATATTCATCAAGTCTGCTTGATGTCTTTTTTTTAAATTTGATTGTGGTATTATATATAAGACTTACTTCGTTTGTCTGACCTGTCTGTAGCAGATCGCCTACTCTAAAAGATCATTTAGATCAACATGAAGTAAGATAGCATGGTTTTGTTACGCGTACAGATCCTGATAAAATTTCGAAAATTTTCAGAACGTCTTAAGGAATAAGTAAGAATAATTTGCAATTATTTATATTTATGTAAAGTAATTTTAATCGTTACTCTAAGTATCCTCTCAAAATAAGTCCATTTTTAACAAAGAATCAATATTGAGGTATGATTTTCGAAGCATTTACTCTAATTAATGAACATTCAAAAAAGATAACTGTTGATATACATGATATTTAACAATTTAGAACAAAGAAATCCGATTAATTTGGTCTGATTTGGGTTATTTTTAATTTATTCGTCTTTACCTGAAATGTGTACATTAACTGAGTCATACATTTATGTATGATTTAGAATGGTTACAAGTTGAATAGATTGGATTAAATTCAGCCAACTGTCAGTTTTGTGAATTTTTCCACTGAATAGGGTGTTTCAGTGAGTTGATTGTGAACATATACATGCTTTTAGCCGATTATAGCAATAGAGTTATTTAGATTTTCGTTGAAAATAACAGGATTCAAAGATTAAGCTGAATTGGAAATAGTTGTTTACAGCCAATAGTTTGTACAAAGACCTTGTACACTTTGAATACATCGCATGACATCCAGTAATTAAATCTATGAGGAATGTGACTTTAGTTGCTTAACATAAAGTAGAAAGTATTCCTAGTTATAACCCCAATGACTTGATCGGTGAGACTATAATATATGGATGACCTTTGAGCGACACTAAGTGATCTTGCGACAACTCACCTACCTAATAGGTTTAATATAGGGCTTTAAATTAGTACGGGTAATTTTGGATAACGATTTGAAGTTAGAAGTTGGGGTTAGGAATCGGAGTAAAGGTTTACATCAGGAACTAAAATCAACTAAGATGCTATATAGCCATATGGGTAAATGAACTTCGCACCAAAATCCGAGACGTGTTGTCTTTAATTTTATTGGTTTGTCCATAAATCACTACGAGAGGAAAAGGGGCCTGGTCACCTTCCTCCCTGGAGGAGCCCTAATGTTACTCTTGTATTAATACTAATGACAGCCTTAGTTATTAGGTCGAACTCAGGTTCGTTTGTTGAGTAGTTATTACTTTGTATCGGTTGATAGAGACTGTCGTAAGTAGAGTGATACGATTGAAAATATACTCCAACTCGTTCTTGTGAACATTTTAAATATAGCAGTGTTTGTTGTTATTAGTCGTTCTTGTAAGGGACTGCAAACTTTAAATGTTATATCCAGTTACTCAAAACTTGCCTCAATTATAAATATGTTCCTTACACACTTATTCTTGACCATGTATATGCTAGTGATGACTGAGTAATCTTTATTATTCCTACCCGCAAAACTCTCCCTTCACTTACATCAGATGTCCGACTAATTTAACAACTTGATATTTTGACATAGATAGGAAAGTATCCAAATGGTGTTTGTGGAGTAAACTGATTGACTTGACCTAAAAAATGTTATGGTGGCAAAAATAAGAAAACTACTCTTGACAATTAGACACGTTAAATATTTATCGTCATCAGTGGATAATATGTAGATGAATATGCAATAATTACGTAAAATTCTGTCATTGGGCTTTGAAAAGTTACCATACATCCTTGTCCATTTCAGTTAAGGTCAGTCGCTTCAAACATATTCATTAGTATGTCATATTTGTAGGATATCATAACATTAATTCCACTTTGGATTACTATATGGATACAAATATAGGCAGTACCTTGTTTGAAGTACTATTGGGAACTACAAAGCACCAGACAGCTGTATCATTCTAGTATGGGACTCCTCAGCAATGCACACTCGTGATATTACCATAAAATGAACTCAGAGGCTTCAGACTTTGTACTGAACCTTTAACCGTTGAAACCGTTAAGTAAGAATCCTGTGTTATCCCGGCTAAGATCTGTATGTGGTTAATCAAACCTATGAATACAGATATGTGTTTAATGATCACTAAGTGTTACTCAACTTCAAGGCCTGACTTCTTAATTCACAGTTTCCCTATAGAATCTCATATCTATCCTCATAGTGAAGGGATTCTCAATGGAGAAAAGAACTGTTATCTAACTATGTATGAAAGAAGAGTAAATCGAACAAAGCATGATGAAAATTTGTTGATAGATATCAATCAGGAAAATCGGAATTTCATGTAAATTTTGCTCATCGATTTAATCAAATTAATACAAAGTACATTTTAATAATATGTTATACAACCGTGGAGAACTAATATCAAGAAACAGAAATTCTCAAAACTCAAGTTAGTAGAAGAGAATTACTGATAGAAAGTAGAGATTTTATTCACATAGCCACAAATTGCCACCATATATCTTCATTTTCACAGAGAACTTCCAGGTATTTGATGATAAATCAATAAATTTGATAATTCCAAATGAGAAAAAGCAAAAATAAATTTCATACAAATCGACAACAAACTGAATGCTACATGATATACTGAATGAATGTGACATTGCTGAATTTACAAAAACAACAAATCTGAGGTTAAATAAAGTCAGAAAACTATCATGGTTTCTATGAAATATTTATTCATGAATAATGAATTGTTCTAAGACAAATAACTATTATCAGTAAGGGGTTGTGGGTGTTGTTGAATTTCATTAAAATTCCAAACTGATCGAAATTAGACAATCATTTAAAACTTACAAGTACTGGACGGCCATTTTCTACTACGATACTACTCAGCTGCGGGATCGATAAGTCTGGTTTTAATGTTGTAGATGTGTATAATTGTGATTTTTTAATTACCGAATTTATTATAAATTCAATCCTGCTTTTCAGAAGCTCTTCACATCTTCAGATTACGTTTAGCTTCACAAATATCCTGATATTGATTTGCATAGAATAACCTTCAAAGTAAAGTTTCATGTACATTTTCCGCATTCCGTATACTGTTTTGGGACTAATAAATTGAAATGTCAGTGTCTAGACATTTAGGTACATGGGTTATCAGTTGTGAAAATAGTATTTATACAGATTAGAACGTATCCTAGGAATGGCAATCGAAGCAACTTAAAACCTTTACGCTGGTTAAAATCTTGTAATGTTAAAACTGATGACGGATATTAGTCTCATCACTCCAAATTCAATCTTTCACCATATGGAAGCTGTTCAATGATTACGACCGAACGACTGAGTTACGCATTTTTTCCCAAATTATAACAAGAAATGTATCAAAAGAAATGGTATTATAAATAATTGAGACATAGACAATACGCTGTACACACCTTAATTAATGAGGTATCTAATGCTTCAAGGAATGATAAAAGAGAAAGTGTGTAGCTGAATTAAATAATTTCACATTGCTATATCAAAATTAATGTTGGCAAGAGCAAACTGAAATGATGACTGTGTTATACTAAATATGAGAAGCATCATTAGTAAACGAACGTTTTCGCACACAAATGGAATAAAGACAGAGTATTGAGGGCAATAAAGTTGTAAGATTACATTACCAAAATTGATTACTTGTTAACATACAAACCATGTGTTACAGTAAACAGA